CAGTTTTATGTGTTGGAGCGTCTCGTGAAACTAAAAAATGCTCACATCAAACATAGCGTCCTGTGTTGCCCACATCTCATGAGAAAAATATGAAAAACATAAACTAGTTTTTGGTCAAACCTTGTAAATGATGAGTCTAATCAAATTTCAGCCTAATATATAACTTTGACAAAGTTATAGATATGCTARTGTTATCTAAGATGGCCGTTTTTAATTGGATTGACACCAAATGCTAATATTACTTAACTACGCTCTGAAACTTAATTTCTTTAAAACCCAATCAGTGATTCATGAGATATTTTGCTAACAAACACTTATAACATGAGAAAAAACATGCTCCCTGTGCAGTAATAAGAAATACAAAAATATRCCTTCTAACAGCACAGAAAGCAATCATACCAAAAGGGAAATGAATATATCAGCTGTAAAATTCTGCACAGAACAGGAAGCTGCAATATTTGTCTGCTGCAGTCCTTCCTCACACACTCGTACAAACACACAAAACGTGTGTTTTCAATGTTGAAAGTGACATATAGATGCAAAAAGTTGTGTTGAGGCAAACGGCTGCTCGCCTGACAGTATCAGCATGGCAGAGCYTGGGAAAAGACTTGTGTCTTTGACCTTGGCTTGAAAACACGCACGTTTATAACAAACAGACAATAAGTTGTTTCTGAAGCTGAATCAATCGCAGCTGGCTGCATCAGGCGGGGTCTGAGTGTGTGTTGGATGTCGCGCACATGTGTGCCTGAGTGTTTCCCCAAACTCCCCGAGGTAAAGCCGTTCCATTTGCGCTCACCGGGGGGACAACCGCCACTTATCAATTTATGAATTGAATTTCATTTTCAGCCCGTGACACGCAGCGTGCGGGTGTCACTGCAGCAAAACGCGCCCCCATTGTTGGGCTTCCCGGCGGCGGCAGACAAAGCCGCACGCGGGCAGCCCATTAGCCTCGGCGCTGATGCAAAACCTCCTTTCTTCTGTCAGAGAAACACATTTTTGTTCGACAGATCTGGWGGTTTTTTTCTTCTTCTTTTTTTTAAATCTTTCAGGCTTCGGCTTCAGCAGGCGATCTCTGGGATTTGCCTCAARGTGAGGTCTCTGAAGCCCGCGCAGGTTTATGATCCATACAGCTGTAATTACCATCTGTGTACGGACGTGATCGATACGAAGCTTTTAGTTTCCACATGAGTGGCTATGATGAAATATAAAGACAGAATAATGGGGGAGAATGTTGACATGATGAGCAGAACAAGTAGAGCTGCGGCTAAAAGTCATCATAATCAAGGGTCTACTAATTTGTAGATGTCAAAATTGTTGATTTTTTAATTAAATTTGTTTTGATTATTGATAGTTTGTTATAAAATGGGTAGTTTGCTTTAATTTAACATATATGCTGTTTTATACACTCAGTTGAAGCTAAAAATACAGTTATCTTTTACAAGACAGAGCTCTGCAGAGGTGAGATTTAGAAAGCTAAAAAAGAGGAAGGTTTTTGTTAAGAATCTGCTTTTTTGGAGGCTTTTCTTTCCCCGTTTATCCCGTCTCGCCCTCTCAGGAACCATCTGCGACCCCTCGGGAGCCTGGCTGCTTTAGATAATCCGGCGTGGAGAGTTTATTTTGATTTTTCTTAAACGTTGGACCCGTTTCCTCGCCTCGTTTCCGTCTAAATTATTTATCGGAGCAAAAAAAACGTTGCGAGTCGGTTTGTGAATACTGAGTGAGAACTGTACGAGTGTGAAACCACTCCGGGTTAAAGTGTTTGCTTCAATCCGTTTAGGCTGAAAGAAGGGGAACGTGCACGCATTTGTTTTCTATTTTTGAAGCAACACCGACTCACTCACATATTTATCTCACTCTACCGTTTTTTTTTTTTTTTTTTCATGTCTATGTGTTTATATGTGGGCGCGATACGAAGACCTGTTAAATCAAATCCACGCACCGGTTTACTTCCAGGCTGAGTTTGCAGCAGTAGCCTGACCTCTGGACCACTCTGAAAATTATTAACGTTTGAGGGTTGCCCACATCTATTTGAAGTAGAGTTCAGAGAGAAATTATATCCAACATGTGACAGAATATGGAGGTCGATGCCAGACTTCTATAAAAGTAAAAAAATCTCCACGTGTCCAGACTTGAGAGTAATCTCAGCTGTAGTGAATGAACTGGTGAATWTTTCTATCGTGGTAAAGCAAAACCTGTCAGAACAATCATATTTAATTAGTTAGTAAGACTCCTTTATTTATTTTTTTATATTTTTTGCAATCCAGAAACTTGCCCTACATSTCCCAAAGGGACACAGTCTGAGCTGAAGGCTAACCACAGCCTCACATGTAAACAAACCAACCTGCAGCAGCTGGTTTTAGGGTTTAGAACGTGACCACAGACTGCAAACATGTTGGCTTTAAAACTTAAAAATGATTCAAATCCCAAAAGAAAGAGTGTATCATTTTATGCCAGGGTGTCAACTTGGCTCAAGGCTTCTAAGGTACCTTATGGAGTCAAACTATCAACCTTGTTTTTATTAAATATGCATATCCTGATTTTAAATCCTTCTTTTTCACATTTAAATCATTCATTTGGGTCTAAACAAAGTGAAACAGCAATGCGTTGGTCTGAATTCCCTCTTTTACCCCTTTTTTGAGTTGTGGCTCAGATCAACTCGTTTTGAGGCTGCCTCTTTAAAAGCCAATGAGGCYCTTCAAAGCCCCGAAGATGAAACCTGCAGAACAGCGATTCATGAAATTGGTTTGCCGAAAGTCCAGGACCRTGTTTAGCAGTTCCGCAGCAAATACTGTGACTGGATTTTGGATATGTTTCCTTTAAGGTCAAAGTCTTGTTTATGATGGGCGTGGCTTAAACTTTGTACTAGAAACTGTTGATTCAAGTAGTTCTTAAATTGCTGATGCAAGTTGAAATGTGCTTTTTTCAGTARGTTTAGTTGCAGTTATGTTTGTGATTGACAACCTGTTGGGAGAGAGTGTAGGCGGGACTTTTATGTAAATGGTGCAACCCCAGTGTCACGTACTGAGTGACATGACTATTTTTAAGGTCACACCTCGGCTGTTTTGCATAAAAAGATGATCTTATAGGTTTTTAATTTTGAAAACAGAGTATGAGTTGATTTAAGTGAARGGAGGAAGCCTTTAGAAGAMCTATCCACAACAGGTACGATATTAATTGTTTATAAGCTTGGTGGTAATTGAGAGTTGTGTTTAATTGTGAGGCCGTGGTGGTCAACTTTAATRATTAGCTCCAGGGCCTTTAATTCCCCTGGAGTTTCCTGTACAGTCTGCTGCTGCAAAGCCCCATGATTACCACATTTCCTCTCCCCTCGTATCTTATCTCCCCCCTTCTCTCCGTTCTGTATCATCCCACAGCGCGGAACGTTAATCTTCAAAAGGGGAACGAGTAACAAAAGAAACATCAACAACCCTTGTTTGACTTGATTTCTCTCAGCTGCGACTGTCAGCGAGGGGCTCCCTCTGCTGCTAAGCTTGGAGAAAAAAAATATCGGAATTTTTCACACAATCTGTTGTTTGAATCTCTCATCTGCTGCTCAACACACACACATACACACACACTGCTGTATTTGCTTCCTGGCCTCTCTTTGTGTTGAGTGGGCGACAAGCTGTGACTGGCACTGTCGGATTAGCCAGTATAAAAATACATATGTTTCTTTTTTATTATTATTATTTTAGGGGGTGTTGGATGTATTCCTGAGAATGTGTGTGTGYAAGCTCCATTTTCAGAGCAGGCTGCATCATTTGTGTTAAAGATGCAGAGAAGGATACAGAGTCTGCGACATACCTAAACACAACCAGAGGGCTAATGGCTGACAGATCGCACACATACTGTAAGGTTACACTAAAACTCCCACACGCAAATTATAGCCGGACGCACACGGCTTGGCGTGCGACGCACGCATGCACACAAACAAACGCGAACGGAGACACACGCGAGGCTCTAAATCGTATTAGGCAAATGAGAGCGAGGCGCCGCAGAGGCAGAAAAGCACTCTGTTCGAGTGCTGTCGCTGTGACAGATCCTGGAATAAATCATGTTTAGTTGTTGTTGTTGTTTAATATGCAAATCTTCCATTCAAAGCAGGTTGTTAACATGTGCGTTCCACACACTCATACTAAAACACACACACACACGCGGGAGTAGCATATGGAATGTTACAGAGCCAAACAAAAGGAATACAGTGGGAGAACGAGCGTGGGATAAAAATGTGAAATTCCACAGGCGTCATTGCTGGACCCATATTTCATAAGTGAACAGCCATCCATCAGCTTGGAGACTAATGATGGTACCCACACACCTGAGGAGGAACAACTGGATTTGTGAGAGCGCTCGTGAGCACGCTTAATTAGGTCCACACATGGAAAACACAAAGCGGTGTCCTCGCATGCAACACACACACACACACACAGAGCACTTTCTTATAAGCATCACTTGACATATCTTGACACATCGGTTTCTTGTTCACAAGAGATAAGGGGGAAAAAAGTCACAAGTTGGGCTTGGGAAATTTGGCGAGCACACAACTGGTGAAGGAGGGAAGAGGTGTCACTGCTGTGGAAAGTGACACCTTTTTTTATAAAAATAAATAAATAAATAAAAAACAAAACACTGTTTGCATTAACTTTTTTAAATTTTAAATGACACAAACACCTGCTGAAGGATTCTACCTCTAACAAAACCAATGAAATAACTTAATGCGGGAGAGAAAAGCGGTTTCAGGTTATTTCGAATAATACAGCCTTACTGGCCAGTCAGCCTGTTTTTATCCAATTTAAGTAAATAAAGGGCCTCTTTAATCCAGTTTGTGTACGAGGATGGTGTTGCAGATTTTTAATATCGTCCAGGCTAGCAGAGCTGTAAATGCTATTAAGTTCTTTTAAGCAGGAGAGAGAGCAAGTGAAGTAGGCCACACTCCAAGAAAGACACTAGCTATCCTTGGACTTGTGAAGTTACCCCCCCCAAAAAAGTGTTTTTCTTACCTTAAAGAGGCGCAGGATGTTGGCCACCATGATGGACACGGAGCTCGACGCGGCTCCGATCACGCCCACGATTTTATCGGGCTTGGTGAAGATGGGAGGGTCCCCGTTGGCACAGCGGACGTCRGAGCCGTCCCTTTCGATCAGGGCCTGCACGAACGTCAGCGACTGCTCCAGCGCGTACGTGTCCCTGGAGCAGGTGTCCAAGATCCGGGCCCCCAGGGTGATGTTGGGCAGCAGCTCGGGGTCCTTGTTGATCAGGTCGATGGCGAACATCATGGCCTCCAGGCGGTGGATGCCCTTCTCCTTCTTCAGCTCGCCACACGGCGTGCCGCGGTCGCCTCGCGAGTGGACGGGAAATAATCCGCCGAGGATGATGTCGCCGTCGAGCCGGATGGAGTGAGCGTACTCCGGGGCCGCCTGGGGATCCGTGGGGACTCGTTGCGGGGAGGCAGCAGGGATGAACCAGGTTTGGGCTAAGAGCAGGATTAGGACCGGGGAAGAATGGGAACTTGGGCTCCGGTGAGGCTCCATGTTTGTAAAAACGAACTCAAACTTGACTCTTAGAGGACGATACTTGCTTTAAACGTTTATGGACCTTCCTAATGGTCAGTAAAGCTGGGGTAAAGAACCCCAAATTCGAAGATAGCCGAGCCCCATGAGCAAATCATAATCCACAGAAGAGATGTAGCAGCTACGGTGAGGATTTGGGGTTGGTAGGTGCAGCCTGTAATCCACAAGTCACATCTTTTGAAGAGCCTGCAGAGAAGAGACGGAGACGTTTTAGTGTCGGTACGAACATCAAGCTGCTGCAGGGCTTTAGGGCTCAACTCAAACAGTACAAAATATGCACACAAACTCATTCGACAGCARGTTCTTACACTCTGGAAAAAAAACGATCAATTCAACTCACTGGTTTGAAAGAACCAAAGCATCGAAATCACGTCTACACACTCATCTCCTGGAAAATCGGCAAAAAAAAAACAGCAGTCGGGACAAGAGCGGAGGACCTCGTGGCGAGAGCTCCTCGGGCCGTTTTATGTGACTACCTGCTGCAGAGGTGATAGGAAGGGGGTGAAGAGCAGGATGTGAGACGCAGGCGAAGACGATAGGGAGACTAGAAACGACACAGAGCAGGTGTGTTTCTACTGCAGCTGAGTGAACACACACACACACACACACACACACACACACACACACACACACGCACGCACGCACACACAGCTTCAAACCCAACAGGTTGAGTTCATATTAAATTCGCCTTAAAGCTTCTTACTGCAAAGTCATCCCTGGCGTCAGGGATGCTCTGTAAGCAGGCAGTTGTTGTGGACCTGTGCAGTGAGTCGGTTTGGCCCAGCACTGAATACTGGTTATGATGGTGGATTTATTCTACATGGTGGGACTGCTAATGTGCTTTCATTAGCCCAGGCCCCTGGGAATTTATTTTCTCATTTGCCTCCCCTGATCTCTGAGGCTTGATTTTTTTTTTTAGTTCGTACACGCAGACTATGAAGAGGCAATTTGTGCAAATTTGGAGCCCCCCACCAAAATTTTTTTTTATTTAAAGATGGGATAATTAATCCTAAACTTGACAACTAGAAGTAGGGAGAAGATTTTTTTTCTTTTGCAATTTTGGTGAGATCTTTAGCAAAATGTAATATTTATCATCGACTGCAGAAGGCAATTAAATGTGTTGTTGCTTGTCTGTGTGTGCTTATTTGTTTGTACTGTTAGTAAAATATCCCATGAAACACTGGACACATTTAATGAAAAGGGAAGCAGAAAAGCTGCTTTCTCCGACAGCAAATTTACCCACAAATTTGTTTAATCCAGTGTTGATTGTGGCTTATATGGGCAATGTGGTTAGGGGTGGGTTATTGGCTGGGTTTTATTACATACAAGAGGTTGGCAGGGCACTTTACCGCATGAAATAAGCAAAGCAAACAGAATTTAACARGACGATTTGGACAGTTTGTTTACAATCTATGCTCAGGTTTTGGCAGATGGAGCTCTGTACTCAACAACCAAGCAAATTGGACAGATCTCAGTGCACCAGTGTTCTGTTGAGAAACCTTTGGATTTGTGCATGAATGCTACTTATACAAGCACCCACTTCATTAAAAACATAACAGGCATGGGCATTCCTTGTTAGCAGAGGTACAACCCCAGAAAAAGCTGAAGGAAAACAACAAAACCCCTACATGTATTATCCTCCCTAATCTCTAAACTGCATCCAAAAGGACATTTCTAAGATTTGCTGGAAGTGGCTCATCCTTTCAGGTTGAACTCCAGATCCCAAAAGTGCAAAATGCTGCTTGACAAACAGAAAGATGCTGTGTCCATGCCCAAAAAGGCAGAACGAAAGGTTTGGCTAAGAAAGCAGAAAAGCCAAACAAGCAAGCTGGATTCTGCAAAACCCGAGGACAGCTGGGAAACAGGTGTGCCTAATCAGTGAATAATGAATCACAGGTAGGCAAAACAGGAAGTAAAGCATGGCATCTTTTGGGATTTCACTTTCATGTCATTCAACAAAACAGGAAGTGGAAAAAAATCAAACAAAAATAATGCAAAAATACTCCCATCTAGTCTCTCCAGGACAGAAGAACCTCATGTTTTCAGCTAACCAAGCTGAAGACTTTGGTGTTACTTTAAATCCAAACTGATGACTCGTTCAGCCTTTCAGATATGTGATTTTAAAGTCCCGTCCGGCTAAATCCGACCATCATAAATCATTTTGGCATGGGTACCCCCGTTTGATAAAGCAGCCAGCCTGTATCACCCTGCAGGAGATCCTGTTTCTAATCTTTTACTGCATCTGTTCCTGCTGGATCAAATCCCACACCAGTGCTCCCAAAACTCCCCTGGGTCAGCATTACATCTTGTGTTGTGTACACTGACAGCAACGCATCATTTATAAACCCTTTGAAACCGTCTTTAGGACGGCCTACATTTACCCCCGATCCACACAGGTTTGGAGCTCTGACTCCCATCCCAGCGTGAAACACACTCTCAATGAAAATAATTCGATTGTGTCCCAATTAATTCATTAGCTTCTCTCCACTCTAAAAGAAATCAGGTCAAAGCCACTCACACAGTCGAGCCCCCACCATGATTAAAGCCCCTGCTTTATATAGGTTAACCAGCTCTGATTCAAACACCACGTTCTAGTCACCGCATCGTTTATTCAACACTWTTTTCCTTGGCGAAGTCACAGAAGGAGGTTTCCTAATGAGGCTTAGGAGCCCTCATTCATTAAGACGCACGTTTAGATACAACTCACATCTGATTCTAGTCTAATAAAGTCCAGTACAGCTTTCAGGAATCATCATTACTCCACTTTATTTTCTTTATTTCCCACTCAGGAGCCACCGAATCTGTAATACAACCAGAGTGAACTAGGGATTTAAAAGTTCAAGCTGTAACTACACTCAGAAGTCCACAGAGGGGAACTGGGACCCTGGTGGTATTTAAAGTCTTGTTCAATCATTGAAGATTATAAAAGAGGTGAGAAGGTGTTGTGTTTGTAGAAATCGACCAATTCTGGGTTGCTCTTTTTTTTCATCGACTAGCACCGATCTTTAGAAATCAAAGCCAGCACAGCGTTCCAATCAACTTCCTTTGAGTCTACTGGTGTCAAGAAAAAATACAGCTCTGCCTTAAAAGGCTTGTAACATGAAGCACTGTTGGACTGACACGAGGATGTACAGTAGTGTAACAACACTGCTGTCCACAGACGTGCCTGTCTGTTCATTGGGTTTGTATGGACCATGAAACCAGTGGTGTCCAATCCTGGCCTTCAAGGACCACTTCCCGCGTGTTTTAGTTGTTTCTCTGCCTCAACACACCTGACTCAGGGGGTGGGGGATGTGTTTTCCAGGCACATAGTTCAGTTCTGTGCCACAATCAAGTAACTATGTTACCTTTAGTCGTTATGAAGTGTGGCTAATTCGACTTTCCATCTAAACACCTTGAAATTGGCCTCTTTCTTTTTAAAACAATCCTTCCATTTCTGACACTGACACTTGTCAGGCGCACTTGAAGGATTCTGCCAGGCTAGTAGCACACAGACTCTCAGCTGGGGGAAATAATTCGCAAACTGGATGTGATTCTGACGAGGATCGCAACCCAGGAGCGAGCCTCCAGCATGTAAGGATTACATCTGGGTGACGCTTCAGACAGTGAGAGGCGAGGAAGACCCCAAATTCAGCTGATTGTTGTTGTTTTTTTTTGCCACTTCAGAGTTGCAGTTAAGACATTTTAAAAGCAGCAGGAAATTCAAAGCTGCTTTGTTCCAAAACAATCGGATTATCTATTTTGGCTCCCAGCGGCAAGACCTTGATGGCAGTGTTTATCTCAATCTCCCCAGGATGGAATGTCAACAAAGAGCTGGATTCGCTCCKACCCCCATCACCTGTGTTGGACCRGGCCCTGGAACTCAATTGGCTGAGGAGGAGGAAACTCTGAACTCTAACGAACTCAGCAGAGACGATAACATCATGATTCTGGACTCTGGAGGGGGCCAGGGTTGGGTCCTAGAACTGATCCCCCTCCCTCAACATCATTTACTCCTCTGAACCCGCCCCATCTTACCTCCCCCTTATGTGTTGTTTGACCCCCAGCCCCCTCCCTTCCTTAGCTGCCTTGCACTGACGCGAGTGGTTTTTTGAGCGTATGATTCTGTGTTTCTGTGAGAACCCAGGATCAGAGCTTCTTTTTTTAACTCGCCTTTCCTATTGTGTGTATTCCAAGCTGCAAAAGGTAGCGCACCATCARGRGAAAGACCTTGGACATTCYTTCCCTCATGTGTGTTATTTGTGTGTTTCTTTGGACGGATGTTCTAAACGGCAATTTCGTRCTYCATTGCAGCTTTGATGTTGTGTYTAAATGACAATAAATGATTCTGAATCTGATTCTGATTAGCACGTCTTCAAAACAATGCTTCATATTAGGGATGCTCTGTGGGGATGGGAGCTTCAGGMAGGAGCTTTGGGTAAATAGGCGGAGCTTTGTACCAGCAAGTGTTTCACCAGCTCCACATGACTGCCACAGGATCCAAGGATTTCTCAAACATGCATGAATYAAAGCAACACTCTACATATGCTTTTGATGAGGGAATGACATTCTAATGTGACATAAAACTTGAAAAAGTTGGTTTTGCATAAAACCCCACCCCCTTTAATTGCTTCTTTAGCATATCCTCAAGTTCTAGAACCCTGGTTTTCAACAATAAATCAGGTGTTTTAAAGCAGGACAGCTGAATCTGCTGCCTTTCTATTTTTTTTTTTCATTAACAGAGCAAAGATTTATCCATACAGAAACAGAAAATGWCTCAAACACGATCATTAATACAGAAGGTTTTGGTGAGACTGTCCACACAAGACTAGATTTTCAACCTGGTTTTGGGGGGAAAATGGTTCAGTCTATGGTTAATAAAAGCATGCTACATTTGATGTTTTCCTTAAACATTATTAGTCTTTCACACCTTTGGTAGGCCTTATGATGCTTTTTGAAAGCTGAAAAAAAAATCTCTCCCATGCGGCTGCCTGCTCCATGAGGAGGAGGAGGAGAAGGAGGAAGAGGAATCCCCTGCTGTGATGGTTCAAAGATGAAGCAGGTTGAGCCCTAAAAGGCTTCAAGTGGCTCATCCCTCTTTTTAATTGAGACCCAAATGGCTGGTGAGGTCCCCCCCTCCTCTTCTTTCACTGCACATATTGTTTTTTTGCTCTGTCTCAATTCATTTCATCTCTTGATCATCCTTTCTGCTGTACGGCATCACCTTCTCCATCTCAGAGGAAGAGCGCTACTCCTTTCAGCAAGTGGCAGCTTTTCTCCACCCCTCAGCACTAAACTCCTCATCCTCCTCTCTCCAGGTCCGAGAGTTGTGGTCCAGCTTTTCCTCTCTGCTCCTTCTTTTAATCTCCACCTGTGTCGGATCAACATCGCGAGCCAAGGAGGCACTCAAATCTGTCTTTCACACTTACACACACACATCCTTCATTCATTGCAGGTGGGGTGGGATGTTTCCCCCGCACTTTAATTCGATTTTTAAAACCCTTTTCTTGTTCCTTCCACATCCAAATGCACAAATCTTCCTTTGACGTGGCYAAGTCGTGCATCTGGAGATAAAAACGCAGCCCCTCTGGTTCAAAAAMAAGATCAAAGTCTAGGCGTGTGTGCTGATTATGCAGCCCTATAGGGCTTCATTCTGTGCAGCGGTGGTGGTATTCTGATTCCACCCTAATTAGGATGTTTAAAAAAAAGGCATTAAAACACAAGTGTGATTTCTGAGTAAATGTCATTATAAATACATATGCACCCATAATTGTTAAAGTGATGTAAAGACTGGTACTCACCCACCAACTAGTGCACAGACTGGCAAAACCCCATCACCAGAGGAATGTGGAGAGGTTATTAGAGAAGGGACTTAAAGATACATCAGAAATCAGGAAATTAAATTCCTCCCACAGTGTGGAGAAAGAAGCAGCTCCAGCATCTTCAGCTCCCTGTCCGCCTCAGGCAACTTCCTTGCGGAGCTCAGCAGTTTCACACCTCAAATAAAAAAAAGAAGAAGAAAAAGAAATACCAGTCCTCCTGAGTGATTTTCTTTCCACTCCTCGCAAAATAAAATAATAAGAAGACAATTCCTTCAGCTGAAGATTTTAACAAAAAAAAAAAAGTGCTCAGTCGTGACCAGCAGGGAGGATTTTACGCGCAAGGAGAAGAAAAAAACGCAACTATGAACTCCGCGCTTGTTTAAGGAGACAATAGAGGGAGGCTGTCTGCGCTGATGACTAAGAATGAAGGGAGSGGGGAGGAGGGGAGGGGGACAGAGCAGAGGAATTTATCATACACGCGCAGATCAATAATGTTAGTGAAACCCACCTGATTTTGATCCATAGTCCTCTTTAAGCTCAACGCACTTTGCGCATAAAGCCCCCCCCTTTTCCCCCCTCCTTCCAAGTCTGCTGCTCCGCGCGCGCACACGCCTCGACTCGAGCCCCCCCTCTCAGCTCCGTTCCTTTTGGGAGGGGGGGTGTCGAGCTGGGGGTGTCGGTGCTGAAAGGGACAGCGCTCTGTGTTGCGCGCGAGTCCAAGAGCGTTCAATCAAGTTTATCACCGATTAATCGATAGATTGTTGTTTGGTTTCCACAGAAAGATGAAGGAAAGGGGGGGGGGGGTTATTGAACACATTAATAAGTCATCCCCTCTCCCTACATGAATAAAAATGAAAAAATAAAATAAAAATGCTCACAAAGGCGTTGCGCCGCACTCTTAATTGGCTGAACTTAAATCCATTTTCCACTCTGGCCCCCTTCTTGTAACACCGGCGCTCAGTGGAGAATTAAAGAAATGAAGCGCGTCCCATCTGCTGTGTAAAAACAATTTGAGTCAGAGAGAGAGAGAGAGAGAGAGAGAGAGAGAGAGAGAGAGAGA